AAACACATACATACACCACACAAACACACATACACAAAATTTTCCATCAGAAGCAATGATCAAGGCAGTAGTAACAAGTATTCTGAAAGCCCAAATTACGTTCTTGAAATACCATCATGCTAAAAGAAACCATGGCTTGTTGGAAAAAGACATGATTCCAGATACAGGGTAGAAAATATGGAAAATGAACATGAAACACCTTGGCATACCAGAAAGTTATCAAAGACTACTAAAACTATCAAAAGGACTCCAGATCCTTGAAGAGACTTCCACTGGCTAAAGACAGGACATGTTAAGCATTAACAGAGCTAATAACTGTAGTAGATCAAAACATATAAAAGAATGATTGTTCTATTATGTTAAGTGAAATAAGGCACAAAAAAGACAAATACTGTATGATCTCATTTACATGTGTAGTCTAAAAAAGCCAAGCTCATAGAAAAAGAGTAGAAAAATGGTTACCAGAAGCTGAGGGGGGAGAGAGAGAGAGAGAGAGACAGGAACGGTAACAAACGTTGTTTAAAAGATACAACGTCTCAGACTGGAGGAATTAAGTTTTAGTGATCTATTGCACTGCATGGTGACAACAGTTAATGTATTGTGTGCTTCCAAATTGCCAAAAAGAACTATTTTTAGTATTCTTACCACAAAAAAATAAGTTGGTAAGGTGATGGTTATTTTAATTAGCTTGAATCTCCAGTGTGTACAAAGACTGAAATATTACATTATATCCATAAATACATAATTTGTCAATTAAAAATAAATAGAATGTGTTTCCATAAGTTCACAATATTTTAAAAATTAAATAGTTATTTTTTGGAGGATGCCAGGGAACCAGCTGTATTTTGAAAACAGGTAAATAAACTGTAAGAATCATTCTACCTTCCCTCTATGAATTATACTAAAATGTAATGTAAATAACATTTCTCCTTATAGAAATATTCTAACTAATAAAGAAAAAGAATTAAAATATCATCACTTTGGCCAGGCACGGTGGCTCTCGCCTGTAATCCCAGCACTTTTGGAGGCTGAGGCGGGCGGATCACAAGGTCAGGAGTTCAAGACCAGCCTGACCAAAATGGTGAAACTCTGTCTCTACTAAAAATGCAAAAAAAAATTAGCTGGGCGTGTGCGTGTAATCCCAGCTACTCTGGAGGCTGAGGCAGTGGAATTGCTTGATCCAGGAAAGTGGAGGTTGCAGTGAGCCGAGATGGCACCACTGCACTCCAACCTAGGTGACAGAGCGAAGACTCCATTTCAAAAAGAAAAAAACAAATAAATAAAATATCATCATTTTGCAAGTCTAATAAATCACAGGATCTAAGAATTGAACAGAAAGGCTGCTAACATTACGAAAGGAGCATATGAGACATGATGTGCTTCCTGGTAGAAGCATACACCACCACAGATTAAACAGCGTCACCTACACAAAGAAAGCTGAATCTGACTAAGCCTCTAGACTCAATTATCAATTCTTGGGAAATGCAGTGTGGCAGTCAAAGAAACACCTTAAATCACACCATGTGGAAACCATCAACAAAATCCAAACTTTGGAAAACTCTACAGGACAAATGATCCAATTCCATCAACAAATATTTTGCAAAGGAAAAATAAGAGGGAAAGGAAAGAAACCTACAGATTTAAAAAAAACTTAGAAGACCTATCAAAGAAACAATAAAACAATACTATTATTAAAGATGCACACTGGATCAGGACAGTGCTGACTCTTAGGAAGACTGTAATTGGGAGAAAGAACTGAACAGCTTCTGGGTACGGCCGGCAAGGTTCTATCTCCTGACCTGAGTGATGGCTGTAAGCATGTGTACTTTAGATTAATTCATTAATGTAAACATTTATGAGATTTTCCATTTGTATTTTAATCATAAAAACTTTTAATGAAATGCTTATATATATTTCATATTTGTAACTTACACATTTCATTTTCTTCATTTGTTAATTTGATCATACCCTCTCAAAGTTAATTAATATATATCAAATCTGACCACCAGACAAACCTCTTTAGAAGAAAGACGATGTCCACAAATTGCATTCTCAAGCAGTACACCTTACACTTTTCTGAATGTTAAAGAAATCGAAAGCAAAACTTACCATATGCCAGCTCCTAAGACTGGGAAAACCAATTGCATCATAGATACAGGCTTAAGTCAGGTGAATCAATACATAGCAAGATCAATGGCCTTTAGAAAAATGAATAAAGAACACAAACAGGTAATTCACAGAAAAAATACAAATTACTAAAAGGCAGTAAATGACAACCCCTCAATAGTTAAGATTAGGAGTGATGACACCCTCCAGAGAGGGGTCCCCAACCCCCAGGCCACGGACCAGTAACGATGGCCTGTAAGAACCAAACCATGCAGCAGAAGATGAGTGGCGGGCAAGCGAGCATTACCACCTGAGCTCCACCTCCTGTCAGATCAGTGGCCACATCAGATTCTCACAGGAACTCAAACCCTATTGTGCACTGAATCGAACCAACGCTTGATGATCTGAGGTGGAGCAGTTTCATCCTGAAACCACTCCCCAACCTCCTAATCGTCTGACACAAAACTCGTCCCTGGTGCCAAAAAGGGTGGGGACCACTGCTCTACAGTAATGGCTAGGGTATAGGAAAGCCGGCATTCACATTATTGTCAGGCGTATAAGTTAACATAAACTTTAGAAACCAATTTGGCTTGTCTTTTACATTCTGAAGGTATATTATTTGAGCAAATCCATTTCTATCAAATCCCTCTACAGAAATAAGAAATAAAGACATAAAGTATGCTACAATACTGTAACAATGTAAAATAGGAGAATCATCCAAATGTCCATTAATGGGAAATTTAAGCTATACGACAAAGCCACTCAAAAGAATGATGTGTACTTTCCCCGAAATCTCTCCACAACAAAAGTGCAAAAAGTAAAATGCAGATCAGTGTATAAAGATACTAATGGGAGCCACACTACACCCACTGTTCTATCAGGAGTAAATATCTATATAATTCTAGCATTGGGCTGAGAAAGTATGGATGCCAATTTAACTAAACCACGTTACTGTCCATACCCCTTTGAAGGCTAGCCTGCAACGTTAGTTATCGCCATTTACTGGTGCTGTTACAGAATACACGACATCTGTGCGGAACTTACAACAGTCAAGCATATCATCCTGGGACCCGATGGGCTGAGATGAATTGGAACTACTTCCGTTTGTCAGTCATCTTAATCTGGACAAAAGTGAAATGGAGCAGTATTATTCCACAAGACATAAGTAAATACAAGATAGAGAAGCTACAGAGTTGGAAATTAAACACACTTCATAAATACCTCACATAAACTTGTGACTGCTGGGTGAGAATAGCCACACCTGGCAGCCATGGACCCTTGACAGTATCAAGCAGGGTGTCGCTACTTACTGATCCCATGTGCCACTGAACCAACCAGGCTCTAAACCCTTTCTTTCTTTTGGGAGATGAACAAATTCAAGGATTTACTACACTTACAAAGAGTATTTTATCTATCTGTTCACGAACAATAGGAAGGGTTGAGTGGTGGAATGTGTCAGAGCTTTCTGCTACAAAATTATTAATCATCTGGGTTGTAATCATTACTTGTAATCAACCTTGCTTCAGGAGGCCAGGGACTTTCCTGGCCATTTGACAATTCTGCTTTCTTTTGAGAACACACAGAATTAATCAACTTTTTCATCCCCAAAAGATAATCTATGTAAGTTGTATCGAGATATTAGAATGGAGATGTTCCTTAATCTTTTTATTTTACACCACCATGGAAGTATTTTGCATGCCTATTCTGTCTTGGTTAGAGAAAAGCAGGCCCCTCCCAGTGCCAAAATAAGAAAGGAACAATACAGACCCCTCCCAGTGCAGAAATAAGAAAGGAACAATTGCAGCTGAATGCCATCACTGTTGCTCAATCACCTTGGGATTAAGAGCTCGAACAGTTAGTAGATAATATGACACTGAGCAAATCCTCCTCTCTGAGCTGCTTCTTCACAAAGTGAAGATAGTAACTGGAATCTGGGGCGGGCAAACTGAGATATAAAATAGCATGTACTTAGTAAGCTTCTGTTAGCACATTGTACCAATCACGTTATTTTAAGGAACAATCAATTAATTACAAAAAGCCACCAAAAAAGAAACAGAAACTACGAGTTATCTGCACATAGATATCTATGTAAAAGGCTTTTAATCAAAGAGGCATAAACCTGTGGAAGTACTACTCTTAACACGTGGAGTCACATCATTCCTGCTTTCAAGAGGACTGTAAGCAACAATATTTCACAGGACAGTTCTCGATTACACCGTTACTGCCACCCCCAGATGTTACTGTACTTCCTCTCCTCTGGATATAGAAACGTACTGAAGTTGGGGCCACACACAGGTAGAGATAAGCGTGCACTCTGGTCTAAAGCAAACACTGACAGTTCAGGCAAGGCCCTTGCTTGGGGAATACTGATGCTGCTGCTGAAGTATCTCAGAAACACCTATTACCTCGCCTCTAACATCTTCTCAAGTGAAAAACAGGAACTTTTCACTCAATAAGAAATTCCAGTATACCAGTATCAGTTTCCAGTATCTACTTTGCCGGAAGAAGCTTTAAGTTAATAGTTTCTACATGTAGTTATCACCAGCAGTGTCATTATAGGTAAAGAAGGTGATTTCAATGGATAGAAAAATGTGTTTTTTCCATGCATTAAAACTGAGGCCTGACAAGCTATAGTCCATGCCAGCCCAATTTTTTGCAAATAAAGTTTTACTGGAACACAACCTAACCAATTTATTTGTATTATCTATGACAGCTTTCATTCAGTAACGTTCAGCAGTTGCAACTGACAGAACAGGTGGCTCACAAAGCCTAAAATATCTCCTATCTGGCCCTTGAAGAAACTCAACCCTTGCATTAAAATATTATAATGCTAGAGTAAGTAAAACTTCATTTGAAAAAAAATTAGAATACAAAAATACAAATGACATGCTTGCTCTGATTCAGGCACTTTCAAGATCATTGTTTATTTATTACTTCAGGTAAAAAGATAGTATACATATTAAGGAATCCATTAAAATTCAACTCTAGAGTTATATACCATCTAGTACTTTTGCAATGAATGTTAACAACAACAAAAGAAATCTCTAAACACCTGAAAGCCCCACTATTAACATGGACTATGGTAATAAAAAAATTTGACATTTAATTTGTTCGATATATAGTATTTACATTATGAAACCAATGGTGATACAATGAACAGTGATAAAGAAATAGTAAAAATAAACTTTAAAAAGCAAAGATTTATTGTCTGACAATGCTAATTATAATTGTATATAAAAAAACATAGCAGAGCTTTCTGTTACAAAATTCTTAATCATCTGGGTTGTAATCATTACTTGCTACCAATTTACATGCAATCTGCTAGGACATTTGATTTTTTTCCCCCAAGAACATGTGAGTAGATAAATGACATTTCAGAGCAGACATTAATTTACTTGTGGACAGAAAAAGAAAAAACTGTACTCAAGATTGGTACTGGTCACAAGCCTCTTCTTGATAGAAATTATAAAAACAGTAAGATAAAATTTAAAAAAATCTAAAAAGGGGATGCATAGGCAAAGAGTACCATAAATGGCACAGCTCGAAAATCCCAGGACCAATCAGACATACATCTCTCTCTCTCTCTCTCTCCTTCAGCGATGAGAGGTTGATTTTGCCATCAAGTAACCATGACTGAATCAAGTGAGGGGCACCAGGTGTACAAACTCATTAAATCTTGCAAAATACTAAGATGGGGGCAGGGGTGGCCAGAAGAAGGGGCAATTTATAGATAATTCAAACTATATACAGCATGAATGGAATGCAGCCCATCCCAAACTGGCTCTGTGAAACAACTGGACCTTTATACTTAAAATTATAACAAGTGTAATAATACAATAGATTTACATGGGAAGCAAAATCCGAGGGGCATTTTATATTAAGTATTTACTGTGCTGTTTCAATTTAAAAATAATTTTGCTAAGTATACATCTCAACTGAAGTCTATGTATAAAATGTCCTAATAGATACAGATATTACCTTTGGTGAGTTGAAGGCCTTTTTGTGACTTCTGTCTGAACTGTAGGCAGAATGCTAGATGTACATGCACATCTGGAGAAACTCAAGCTGAGGTCATCCAAAAGCTGTGCATATGAGGAGGCTGGAGGTACTTTGAAAGTCAAAGTAGACCAGAAACTCAAAAAGAGGATGGCAACAGGGAATGGAATGCCAATATGGCAGGAAAACTTTTTTTAAAAACAGAAAAAGGCCTCTCGTACCAGCAGAATCCTGTATACATACAAAAAAGAAAACGCCACCCACCATTTTGTAAAACAAAAGCCAATTATAGTGTGGGAAAGTACAAATTACAGAAAACCAGAAGTCAACAGAAGAAAAACTACTGGTTTACTTGAGAGAAGGAGAATGATTCACCCCGAGCAGTTACTTGGTGAACGCTGCCACCACCGCCCACAGAACCTCGTTGGTGTTGGCCTTCAGACATTCCACTTCAGGGTCTAAGTCGAGAAGCTGCCGCACTCTCTTGGTAGCCAAATCATACTGCTCATCCAGAAGAGGAGCAAAAGCATTCTCCAGGACGTCCGAGGCATGAGCCAGGTAAATGAGGGCCAGCAAGCGCCTGTCCATGCGGTGAGGGTCATTCACCCATTTGTCAAGAACGGCTTCCTGTACTTTCTTGATGAGGCGCTGCTTAATGTTATTGTTGGTGAGGGGATGTGTTGTCATGTCAAAAAGTAGGAAGTTCTGTTTCTCTGTTGTCAATACACCCTTTTCTACCAGGTTTTTAGCTAATCGTTCCCGTACGTTTCTTAACTGATAATGCAGTTTTAATGGGTTCCATGTCTCACCTAAACAAAAGATTTCAGAAGTTAGAAATGATGAGTATTATCTGCTAATTTTGCAAAAATTTTGTACTATTAAAATAAACAGTAAAATCTGATTTCCCCCTCAAGAGAAACAAGAAAATCGGCCATGTTTTTCTCCCTAACTAGACCATGAACTCCCTAAGGCCAGTGAGACCTTTGGATTCTAAGCACCTGGCAAATCCTCAGGCACAGGAGTCTCTCAGATGACTAAACTGCAAGCAGTCTTCAGACCACAGTCACCCTTAGTCTTAAGTAGAAATAAGCCAAATATTATGTCTGAGCCTCCCTCCAGCTGCTGGTCAAAAAGCAGCCAGTAGCCAAATAAGAAATTTTCTTCTATTAAACACCACTCTGCAACTAATAGACCAAAAAAAAAAAAAAAAAAAAAAAAAGGATTCCAGATTAATATGTTACTCCTGAAACAGCTATACATATGTGACCTATAAAGGTAGGAAAGCCTGTTTAGGTCATGCTATTATTTGATGACAATATAAAGCTAATTCTGAAAAAACACAAATTTTCACAATTGTAACCTGCCATCTATACACATTTCCTTTTGAGACAGAAATATTTAAAATAAAACCAAACAATTTTTCTCTAAAGTGGGTTATTCTTTATAGAAATATGGAAGGAAATACACCAAAATATTAATCATACTTATATTTGGGATGTGTGCTAAATTTCTTTTGTGCGTTCTGTATTTTCCAAATGATCTCCAATGAACATGCAACTATTTTTATAATTTAAAAAAAATGTAACATTTTTCTAAATTAGAACACATTAAAGATCAACCACAGGCATCTTTTTTAAATGCAAAAGTTGTAAGGCTGAGATTCTATAATACTCAGAGAAAACCTTCAACTACACTGTCCATTACAGGTGCCATTACCCACATAGAGCTATTTAAATTAATTAAAAAATTCAGCTCTGGCCGGGTGTGGTGTCTCACGCCTGTAATCCAACACTTTGGGAGGCCAAGGTGGGTGGATAATGAGGTCAAGAGATCAAGACCATCCTGGCCACCATGATGAAATCCCGTCTCTACTAAAAATACAAAAATTAACCAGGTGTGGTGGCATGCACCTGTAGTCCCAGCTACTCAGGAGGCTGAGACAGGAGAATCACTTGAACCCGGGAGGCAGAGGTTGCAGGTTGCAGTGAGCTGAAATTGCGCCATTGTACTCCAGCCTAGCAACAGAGCAAGACTCCATCTCAAAAAAAAAAAAAAAAAAAAAATCAGCTCTTCAGTGGCACCAGCCACATTTTACGTATACAATAGTGACAAGTGGCCAGTGGCTACTGGCTGGACAGCACAGGAATGGAACATTTTCATCAACGTAGAAAGTTTTAGCAGACTATCTTAAAATTTCAAGTTGCTGTCTTAAAATATATTACCATTCAACTGGACACAGACAAAATTATTTTCCTATACTTAATACTAAAGAACATAGGCCTATGATGAAGTAATCAATCAGTCCTAAAACTGCCCTCTCACTGTAATTAGAATGCTGGATAAAATCTATGAAAAAACTGTTTTCTGACATTAGTCAAAAGAAGCCCAGAAATGTGACACAGAGTGAGAGTAAGTGAGCCCCACAACTGCCTAAGCTTACCACCTGGAGGCACGTCCCAGGCAGCAGGGCACAGCAGTCACATCATGTTAAGGTGGCAGAAATCAGGGTTCAGAGTAGCTAAGGCAGCTGCAATGTGCAAAGCAGACTACTGGAGAAGGGGGAGCTACGCCGATAAACAGGTCTAGAAATCTGCCAGGTGTTCCTTGAGTCTTTGGCTGAAAGCTAAGCTACACATGTTAGGGTAAGAAATTCCACAAAGCTAGGTAAAGAACAACTACCAGAAAGTAAACAATTCTAAGAGTTCAGTAGAGCTGGGAAAAATATGATTGCCAACTAGCTAGAGAGCAAAGACCTCACTAAAAACCAAGGACATTCAGAAGGAATCCCAGAAAAATCACACCTTAGTAGTAGTGCTAAACTAGCCCTAAAGACCAACCTAGATCTGCCCTAATAAAGATTAAAAGCAAGCTGATCCGGCCGGGCGCGGTGGCTCAAGCCTGTAATCCCAGTACTTTGGGAGGCCGAGGCGGGTGGATCACGAGGTCAAGAGATCGAGACCATCCTGGTCAACATGGTGAAACCCCGTCTCTACTAAAAATACAAAAAATTAGCTGGGCATGGTGGCGCGTGCCTGTAATCCCAGCTACTCAGGAGGCTGAGGCAGGAGAATTGCTTGTACCTAGGAGGCGGAGGTTGTGGTGAGCCGAGATCGCGCCATTGCACTCCAGCCTGGGTAACAAGAGTGAAACTCTGTCTCCAAAAAAAAAAAAAAAAAAAAGCAAGCTGATCCACAAGTAACTTAGCTGTCTCCCAAGACAAAGCTCAACACTCTTTAAAGAAAGACCATCAAATTCATCACTTAACATCCACCATGTCAAGCATCCAAGTTTAAAAATAAAAAAACCTTGCAAAGCAGCAAGAAACTGACCTAAAACTAGGAGTAGCAGGGAAGTCAACAGAAACAGTCCCAACCTGCGCAACATGGTAAAACCCCATCTCTACAATAAATACAAAAGTTAGCCAGAGCTGGGCGCGCAGTGGGGTGAGAGGGTGTCACACTTGTAATCCCAGCACTTTGACAGGTGAAGGGGAGCAGATCACTTGAGGTCAGGAGTTCAAGACCAGCCTGGCTAACATGGTAAAACCCTGTCTCTACTAAAAATACAAAAATTAGCTGGGCATGGTGGCAGGCACCTGTAATCTCAGCTACTCTGTGGGCTGAGGTAGGAGAATCGCTTGAACCTGGAAGGCGGAGGTTATAGTGAGCTGGGATTGCACTCCAGCCTGGGCTACCAGAAGAAGATTCTGTCTCAAAAACACAAACAAACATACAGAAAACAAACAAAAAAACCTAGTGACCTAGTGCAAGTGTCCTTAATCTACTTCTCCATTTACTCATCTATAAAGTAACAGTTACAAATTTATTAAGCTCATAGGGCTATTATGAGGATTAAATGGTATATCAAGTTCTTAGAACAAAGCCTCATTAAATATTAGCTGTTATTTGCCTACGTGCAGAATAAACAATGTGGCAGAATTTATAGTACTTGTAATGTTCTAAGAATCCTGTTAGGTAATGAGAGTACAAACATCAGGATGTAGTTTTAACTTCCTGTAGTAATTTAAAATCAAGTGAAAGAAACATTCATATTACATATTAGAACTATACTGGCCAGAATAAAATGGGAATAGGGCCATAAGAACAATGTGAACAAAGTGCCTAGAGGAGTAAGAAATGACTCTGGTTTGACATTACAAGTTATCACATAGGAAAGTTACAGAAAAAAAGAAACTTTATACTAAACCTCGAAATCCAGCAGGATTCACCACATCCTATGAAAGGGAGAGAAGCCTGAATCCCAGGCAAAAGAAACAAAGTCCACAGGCAGCAGGATAGAATAAGCCCTGAAGCAGAGGCACACATCTTTCAAAAGTGTGTAACTTCCATCTTTTTATAATCGTATAAACTCAATGTCTCACCAATAAATAACTGCTACATCTTTCACTAGTATGAGTTTTGCTTTTATGTTTTCTAACGTCAATGGCAGGTGTCAGGCAGCTGAAGACACTAGGCTAGAACTGGGTAACTGTGTTGTGTTAAATGACTTATGAAATTTAAACTAATACAACAAAATAACGAACAGCCAAACTTACATAAAAGCCTATTTTAAAAAACTACAGTTCAATTCTAAGATTATGTAAATAATTTGTAAGTTATGAAAGAAGTATCTCCCCTAGCAACTCTAATTTGACATCACTGACTTAACATGTTTATGTTGTCACAAAACCAAAGTATAGTGGAAAAAATGACTCCCAAGCCATCCATTTTTTTTTTAAACCTTCCAAAGTCAAATAGGAAGGAATTCTACGCTCCAGAGACATCTTAGCCAAACAACATCTACTGCCAAACAACAGGGAGGAAAAAAAATCAAGAAGTGAATTATTTTGAGATCTACAGTAAATTTCTCTTTGCAGTCCCCTACTCCCCGAAAAAGCACTCCCTCACCCCCATACATCCCTCTACTGATGCTCTACATTGTTTTTTCTCATGGGAAATAAGTGGAGTTAACAGTTTATGACTACTGTCTCTTATACTGAAATTATGCTAAGGTTTATTATCCTGACTACATCCTTAATTAAAACTTACATATTGCAACCAGTGAAAATTTATGCTTAGTAAATTTTACTAAAGTTCCTAGGGAAATTTCCCAATTCTAAGGTATGCTAACTTACAGTTTAATGTTTCTACTAAAAATGTGAATAGCCTAAACACAAAGCCACCTTTCAAATAAAGTATTTCACTTTTTTTTTTTTTGAAGTGAGAATGCTGCTTATATTTTTAATTTTTTTTTTTTTAATTTATTTTATTGCATTTTAGGTTTTGGGGTACATGTGAAGGACATGCAAGATTGTTGCATAGGTACACACAAGACAGTGTGATTTGCTGCCTTCCTCTCTATCACCTGTATCTGGCATTTCTCCCAATGATATCTCTCCCCAACTCCCCACCCCCCACTGTCCCTCCCCTATTTCCCACCAACAGACCCAAGTGTGTAGTGCTCCCCTTCCCTGTGTCCATGTGTTCTCATTGTTCAACACCTGCCTATGAGTGAGAACATGCAGTGTTTGATCTTCTGCTCTTATGTCAGTTTGCTGAGAATGATGGTTTCCAGGTTCATCCATGTCCCTACAAAGGACACAAACTCATCGTTTTTGATGGCTGCATAATATTCCACTGTGTATATGTGCCACATTTTCCCTGTCCAATCTATCATCGATGGGCAATTTGGGTTGGTTCCAGGACTTTGCTATTGTAAACAGTACTGCAATGAACATTCATGTGCACATGTCCTTATAGTAGAACGGTTTATAATCCTTTGGATATATACCCAGTAATGGGATTGCTGG